GGGATCCAGTGGTCTAGGACATGTTGAGATATTTCCTCTGAGTTGAGGGATAACTGATACATTTGAAATTCTCTACATAAAGGGCTCTTTGGATTCTGAAGGCAAATTCATGACTTCTGAGTACTATTGCTTCAAAATAGTACTGTAAGGCTGTGTATGCAACCCAGAGCAAGAGAAACATGTGAAGCAATTTCTACTTGTGCAAATTACTCTGCCATTTTTCCATCTGACTGCCAAAAGAAAATGTCTTTTGCAGATAGAATGCCCTGTGGAGTCTCTGGAAGACCGCTACAAGATAATTACAGTGTAAATACTTGGAGTTTTGAGACAAAACCAGGCAGCTTTCCTCAGATAATTATTTTCCTTTCTGTAAAAGCAGCTAAATTGTTGTTGCACTTTGGTAGAATCTGAATACTTGGCCATGGGCACTAGGTTACCATGTTACCTGCCCATAATGAACTTGGGGCCCTTTGATCCTCCAGTTCATAAATTTGTCATGTGCAGTAGTTCTCGATCATCAAGGAGAATTACTTACAATATTAGTTTTGAGTTGCTCCTAAAAGCACAGAACATAAGCTCAGACTTCCATGACGTTTATTCCTAATACACCAATACCTCTTCCTTAATCCATAGTTACAGCTTCTTGGGGAATTCTCTATGACCAGTTGACTTAAAGAGAAAAATCAGTGGCCCTGGTTTATAGATAGTTCTGCCCAATATGCCAGTACTTCCTGAAAATGGGTAGCTACAGCATTGTAGGATCACTCAAGGGTATCCTTTGAAAGGTAATAAAGTAAATCCTTCCAGTAAGCAGATCAAGCTGTGAATCGGTTGGTCAAGAAAGAGACATGGCCAGCTGAAAGGATCTATATTGATTTACGGTCAATAGCTAAGAACTTCCTTGGATGCTTTGGGATTTAGAAGGAAAAATATTTTAAAATTAGAGTTTTTAATTGGACAAGGAGTTTTTGTTAGGAGGTTTATGGCTAACCTTCCCAGAGTGGTGAATATTTGTTTGCCAGGTGAATGCCTACTATGATGCTTAATTTTACATGTCAACTTGGCTGGGCAGTAGTACCTACATATTTGGTCAGACATTAATTTTAATATTTCCCTCAGGGTATATTTTTGGATGAGATTAACATTTAAGTTGATGTACTTTAAGTAAAGCAGATAACCCTCCATAGGTCGCTGGGGTTCATCCAATTATTTGAAGGCCTTAATAGAAACAAAGACTGACCTCCTCTGAGCAAGCAGGAATTCCACCAGTAAACAACCTTCAGACTTGAACTGCAATATCAGCTCTTCCTTGGGTCTTTAGCCAACCAGCCCACCCTGCAGATTTTGGACTTGCCAGCATTCTTAATTTCATGAGCAAGTTCCTTAAAATAAATCTCCTCTCTCTCTATATATGTGTGTGTATATATATATGTATGTATATATGTATATATGTGCATATATGTGTGTGTATACACACACACACACACACATCCTATTGTTTATGTTTCTCTGAATAACCCTCACTAATATATAATACTTACCAAAGGCCATTCACTGTAAAGAAGGCTCTCGATGATCAGGTGGACAAAATGATCTCTTATCTTATAGCTATCAGTCTCTTTCCCTGTGTACTGGAGTTCTTATTCCGTGGGTTTATGCACGCAACAACTAAGTGTGTTAGTCAGTTCTGACACTGCTATAAGGAAATACCTGAGACTGAGTAATTTATGAAGGAAAGAGGCTTAATTGAGTCACAATTCTGCAGGCTGTACAGGAGGCATGACTGGAGAGGCCTCAGGAAACTTAACAATCATGGCTAAAAGGTGAAGGGGAAGAAAAGCACCTTCTTCACAGGATGGCAGAAAGGAGAAATGCAAGCAGGGGAAATGCCAGATGCTTATAAAACCGTCAGATCTTGTGAGACTCACTATTATGAGAACAGCCTGGAGAAAACTGCCCCCATGATCTGGTTACCTCTACCCTTAGTCCCACCCTTGACATGTGGGGATTATAGGGTTACAATTCAAGATGAGATTTTGGGTGGGAACACAACCAAAACATATCCCTATGATGGAAAGAATAGAGATATTATGTATGGGCTAAATACCATGGGCTTCTTCTCTACAGCTCACCTGGCTCAGGCCTCTGCTGAGTGCCTTGCTCTCCAGTAAGAGAGACCAATGGTGAGTCCTTAATAAGGCACCATTCCCTGAGGGAACATCCAGATATTCGGGTGGTGGTAGGTTGATTGCATTGGACCCTTTCCTTTATGGAAGAGACAGCTTTTGTTCTCACTTATTGTGGATGTGGATTTATCTTCATTGTCTGTAGTGCTTCACCATCGCCATCCTTGAACTTACTTAATGCCTTATTTACCATCAGGTTATTATAGGTAGTATTGCATCTGATCAAGAAACTAATTTTTCTGCAAATTGTGGCAATGGGCTTATGCCCACAGAGTTTACTAATCTTTCCATGAACCTTATCAGTCTACATCAGACCTGAGAGAATGGTAGAATGACATCTTTAAGACTCAGATGGGGTTCCTGCTAGGCGTAAATATTTTGTGGAACTAGAGTACTGTCCCACAAGATGTGATTTGTTCTTTGAACTGATGCCATTATGTGATATTCTCTTCCATTGGTTGAAATACCTGTTTTTGTGCTGGTACCATGCTGTTTTTTGTTTGTTTGTTTTTGAGACAGGGTCTGGCCCTGTCACCTAGGCTGGCGTGCAGTGGCATGATCTCAGCTCACTGAAACCTCTGCTTCCTGGGCTCAAGCCATCCTCCCACCTCAGCCTCCTGAGTAACTGGGAGTACAGGTGCATGCCATCATGGCTGCTAACTTTTTTTTTTTTTTTTTGTATTTTTTTTATAGAGATGGGGTTTCACCATGTTTCTCAGGCTGTTCTCAAACTCCTGAGCTCAAGTGATCCACCTGCTTTGGCCTCCCAAAGTGGTGGGATTATAGGCATGAGCCACCGTGCCTGGCCCATGCTATTTTGATTACTATTGCTTTGTAATAGATTTTGAAATCAGGTAGTCTGATGCCTCCAGCTTTGTTCTTTTTGCTCAAGATTGCTTTGGCTACTTGGAATCTTTTTGTGGTGCCATATGAATTTTAGGATTGTTTTTTCTGTTTCTCTGAAAAATGTCATTTTTTTGTTTGTTGCTAAGTATGTAGAAATGCAATTGGTCTTTGCATGTTTATCTTGTTCCCTGCTAACTTGATGAACTAATTTATTAGTTCTAATAGTTTTTCAGTAGATTTCTTGGGATTTCCTACATATATGAGATTAGGCCATCTGTGAATAAAGATAGTTTTGCATCTTCATTTCTAATCTGGATGTCTTTTACTGAGGCCTCCTTTTAAATGTGTCAGCAAATTTTTAAAATCACAGTTTTCTGAAATGAAGTGAATAAATGGGATTCAAAATAGTTATGTTTCATTGCCCTTGCCAACTGTGTTGTTTTTCATACTGTTTTTTTTGAAACATATATAAGCTAATGTTTTAAGATCCTAATATATAAATTCCAAGTAATTACTGAATTTAAAAGGAAATCTTTTGCCATTTTTGAGTTTTAAAATATATTTTAAAATTGTAGGGAAAATCCAGAATGTGTATCACATAGGAAAATTCAAATTATTGACTCTGTATTGATATTTAAAGTCTTATTAGAAATTTGATTACTTACATATATCATTATGCATAGATTTAACTGCCTCTTGTTTACTTTTTATAATTATTTTAAAAATACCTCTAAGCCGGTGTGGTGGTACCTAACTCCAGTCTAAGCTACTCAGGTGGCTGAGGGCAGGTCAATTGAGGTGAAGAATTTGAGGGTATAGTGTACTATCACGATTGGACCTATGAATAGCTAGCTGCTGCACTCCAACCTGGGCATCATAGCAAGACCCCATCTCTAAAAACATAAATTTAAAAAAAAATGCTCTAGCGTGGGCTGTTCCAAAACTTAATTTTGGTACAAATTATAAATAGGATGAAAATAATGAGGTATATTTACAGTTGTCACTAGTATATTAAAGTCATGTTAAAAAATTCTTGTGATGGTTATATTGAGTCAACTAAAATAGGATTAAATAATTCTTTTGGACTTTAACAAGCCAGAGCATTATTTCTAGGTTCCCCCAATGAATACAACCAAGGAAACTTTGTACCTAGTATCTGTGGTTTTATGTGTCTACTTTAAATATAGTTTCTTCTTCCTTATACTTTTTACAGATTTCTTTCGCAAAAATAATAGAATGATCATCTAGATAGATAAAGCCACCAAAATAGAAGAAAGAAGAAATCAATGGCAAGATATTAAGACACCAAAAGCACAGTATGGATAGTGAACGTGTTGTTTCTAAGAGGATAAAAATAGACTTATGTTGACTGAGATGTTCCCCAGTTTTCCATGCCTTTTCATTTTCCATCATTTTTTATTCCATTATATTATATGGAGCTTCATGAAAGAAAACAAAAGGGAGATAAGGAGTTGTAGTTAGGGCTACAAATGAAATGTAATCTTCCTGGATGAGATTTGAAAAGCATCTATGTAGAGAAGCTTAGTTTGGTAAGATATTAAATTCCTAAATCTTTGTAATGTTTTCATCAAATTTTATTCTCTAGTATTGCCTTTTCTGTTATATACCCTGGCCATTATATCTATCTAGTCATTAAATAGCAAATATTTAGAAAATCGGAGGTTTTTAAAATTATTATTTGCCTGAGTAAGACAGCATCACACTGGTGTGAGAATCCTATCATGTCTTGTAAAGTAAGCAACTTCAGAGTCAGATTTAACACTGTTTCTCTCTACTAACATTTTAAGTTGGGAATAATATACTCTTTTAAGTTCATAGATTTTAGTTCTTACTTAAATCAGCAAATAAAATAAGTAATCATATTACCCATGAGAATCCCCTCCGTAGCAAAATTGTGAGGAATTTGTGTGCTAATGCTGGTTTATTTTGCAATTTATTTTTTCTCAGATTCTGATGGTAGAATTAACCGTGGGCGAATTGCTTATATTTCTTCGAAGAGCTGCTCTATTCCAGATGAGAGTTATGGCTGCCTGTCTTCAAACATCCCTGCATTAGAATTGATGGCTCTATACGTGGCAGCTGCCATGCATGATTATGACCACCCAGGGAGGACAAATGCATTTCTAGTGGCTACAAATGCCCCTCAGGTAGGAAATATTTTTCAGAACCTTTAAAGAGTAATTCTGAAATTTTCAATCATGCTGTGTATCCCTTTGTAAATCATTATTCAATTGAATCATATAGCCATTCCATCTGACTTTAAGACCCTACATTTTAATTAATTGGATAATAACACATGGCATTAATGTGATGTGTGCTAGGAAATTAGGGGGAAAATCAACTTCTTCAACTAGAAAATAATGAACAGTTTTTGAAATAACTCATTGTTTTGTGAAATTCTAGAGTCCTTTATTGTCAGTATTTTTGTCTTTTATCAAACCAACAAAACTCTGACTGTATTTAAGATTTCTGTTCCTGGTTAGGCCCGTTGTATGGCTAGAAAGCTATAGTGGTTGAGAACTATTCATCTTTTTTGTTGTTCTCTTGTTTCCCTAAAGATTTGCCTTAATACCAGACCTTAAATCTCTTATCTCTGAATATATTCATGTATGTAAAAATTATTCTGGTATATTATTTTTGTACCTAGTATAGCTGATAAGATATAAAATTCCTTTAAGGTCACAATTTGCATGAGGAGGCAAGAGTTCCCAACAAATAGATACTATAATTGCAGTAGCTTTAAACATTAGGACTTGGAACTAAATATGTGTTTGGTTTTTGTTTTTTGAGATGGAGTCTTGCTCTGTCACCCAGGCTGGAGTGCAGTGGCTCGGTTCACTGCAAGCTTGGCCCCCTGGCTTCTTGCCATTCTCCTGCCTCAGCCTCCCAAGTAGCTGGGACTACAGGTGCCCGCCACCATGCTCGGCTAATTTTGTTTTGTTTTGTTTTGTTTTTAGTAGAGACGAGGTTTTGCTGTGTTAGCCAGGATGGTCTGGATCTCCTGACCTCGTGATCCATCTGCCTTGGCCTCTCAAAGTGCTGGGATTACAGGCGTGAGCCATCATACTTGGCCCTAAATACATGGTTTTAAGTAGAATTTAGTGTGGTTGTGGTTTAAGCAGATTTTTGTGTGGTAGCTGGGTTTGTTTATGCTGGGGATTCCTAAAATGTCATCTGTGTGTTTCTAATTGGATGCTTTATGAAGAGTAGGTACTCACTGACTGTTGCTGAATTCATCTCACTTCCCACTTCTTTATTCTATGTTTAAACCTTGGCTCTGATCCTTTCATTTTCTGTAGCCGTTTTCTGTTTTTCTTTTTTTACTTCAATCTCTTTCATATACTCCAACTTTTTTAAATATAGGAGATATAGTCTCTTGAATTGTGAGCATGTGTGTCGGGGTTGGGGGAAGGAATGTAGGGAACTATGAATATGTATATGTGTAAATGGGTATAATAGAGTGTGTGTGTGTGTGCGTGTGTGTGTGTGTGTGTGTGTGTGTGTGTGTATGGGTTAAAAGGGCCATATGATTCATTTTTCCAGTGAGACTTTATTAATAGCTCATGATTTCCACAGGTAACTTTCTGATGAATGTAAATCTAGGTACTAGTAGTTGCCCACTTTCTAAGTATTATTTTTTTAAAAAGTACCTTCTAAGTGGCACATATTTTCTTATTTGCAATACAATTCTGTAAGAATCAGATGCCCATTCTCTCAAACCTAGCACATCCTAATCTTTGAAAATCCTAGTCCTTTGGTGAATCAGAGACCTGAGGAGTAGTGGCATAGTGGAAAAAGCACTGGACTTGAGATTAAAAGTCCTGTCTTAGATTTCTGATTGCCCACTTATTAGCTGTATGACCTCAAATAAAGGTTTATTCCTCTGAACCTAAAAATAGTTATCTGATATGATTAAGGAGATAACATATGGAAGGTTTTATACTGTTTCCGATGGCATGAGAAGCTTCTGAATCAGAAATCACATAGGTAGAAATTACTTACTGTTCTAGTCCACTCTGTTGTTTTGTTTTGTTTTGAGATGGTGATGGAGTCTCACTTTGTCACCCAGGCTGGAGTGCAATGACATGATCTTGACCCACTGCAACCTCCACCGCCTGGATTCAAGTGATTCTCCTGCCTCAGCCTCCCAAGTAGGTGGGATTACAGGCGCCTGCCACCATGCCGGCTAATTTTTGTATTTGTAGTAGAGACGGGGTTTCACCATGTTGACCAGGCAGGTCTCAAACTCCTGACCTCAGGTGATCTGCCCACCTCGGCCTCCCAAAGTGCTGGGATTACAGGCATGAGCTACCATGCCGGCCTACTCTCTGTTTTTATTACTGCTTTCATTTTTGTAAAGTATATCCTCCCTCGAGGATGTTACAAATGAGTGAATTCCAATGTTAACTCTCACATGAAGATAATTTAAAACAGTGTTATATGAATGCAACTTATACAAGTTGCGTACTCAACTGTTATCCTAATCAAAATACAGTCATGAAGTCTGAACATGATATCAATCATCATGTTATTTCTAACTTCTCATTGTTAAGAATTGCCATTAGATGAAGCCATAGGAAGTGCTAGAATGGAAAGGAGATGGATTAGAGAGTTCAGCTGTGAAAATGTATAGCCTCTTACCTAGTTTCCTTGCTTGTTCCCTGCTCTCCTTCAGTCTGTTCTCAACACATGTCAGCCAGAATGTGACCCTGTTTAAGTGTGTTGCATGACTCTGTTCCAGACTCTCTTGCCAGGTGCTGTGGCTTACACCTGTAATCTCAATGCTTTGGGTGGCTGAGACATTAGGATTGCCTGAGCCTAGGAGTTTGAGATCAATCTGGGCAACATTTGAGACCCTGTTTCAAAACAAATAAAAAAACAAAAAAGTAAACTCTCCAATGGCATTCACCTTACCCCTAGTAAATGACAATCATAAAATGTTCTGCAAGGCCCTGCATTATTGGCCTCATTAAGTCTTTTTATTTTTATTTTTATTTTTATTTATTTATTTTTTTACTGACTCAAGTCTAGTCTCACTGGCTTCCTTGCTAATACCATCTCTGTCCCTTTCTGAGAGTGTTTGCACTTTCTGTTCTCCCTGCCCAGAGGGCTTTTCCTTTAGATATCCGTATATTCATTTTGTCACCTCCTTCCATCTAAAATTTCTTCCTTATACCACTATGTTCCTTCTCTGCTTTTTTTCCATAGCAGTGACCATTTAGGATACTATATATTTTGTTTATGTACTTTGTTTTTTATATGTATCTCCTCAATGGAATATAAAGTTCCACAACGGCAGGGATTTTTGTCTTTTATTCCATAATACCTAGAGTAGTGCTTGACATACAAAAAGCATTTAGTAAATATTTGTTGAATGTTGAAGGATGTCTGAATTCTTTGCTCTGTAGTACTCCTAGGTTTTCTGAAATATATTCTGTGCTTCCCAAAGTAACAAAGTTTATGAGGCCTTCTTCAACTAGCACCTGTGAGATAAGGACCCTTGTAAAAGTCTACGGCTTAATGTGGTTAAGTAGCAAAGTAGGTTCTTTCATCTTTGGAAACTCAGTGGGTCTAGTCAGGCCATAATTAATAAAAGATATTATAGTTCCGGTGTGTTATAGACAGTAGCATATAATACCACCAGCTGGGTCAAGCATTCTTTTTCATTCTCATGGCAAGGAATGTGTGCTAGAAAGATACACGAGGATTCTTAACATGAAAGAAGGTGATACATATAGCCAGGTATATCCCAGAGGAATTAATAAGATTCTAAGAGATTTCTGAGCTGTTTCCAAATGAAAAGTTGGCTGAAAGATGGGAGGTTAGTGCTGAAGATAGTAAAATTTCTGGAATATTTTTATGAGACTGGGTAAAAGGAAACACAGTTTTAAGTTGAGATTTGTAAATGTTTTCTCTCCCAAAATATGGATTAAGATGACTAAACACATGAATCTGTTTCCCCTTCTTCCTGAGAATGTATTAAAATGATAGTAAGATATGAAGTTCATTACAACAGAGAGCAATAAGAGGATGATAGGTATTATCACCAGCAGATAAAAAAATTTTTATAACATTTCTGGAAAATGAAAAGTGGATGAATATTGACAGATAAAACAAAAGTACCCAGCATAGCTGGAACCCCAGAGAGACTCCTGTTACCATTTGCTCCTGCTTGCTCTCTCTGTGCACACACACACCTTTAATCAGAGTGACTACAACCCTATGTTTACCTCCAGGCAGAAAACTCATCTCTTAGATATTGAAGGAAACTGCCTGGAGAGTAACAACAGTTCCTAGAGTGGGTATTAGTAGTTCAAAGTAAATTTCTCTCATTCTAGACATCTAATAGCTGGCACCCGTTATTCTAAAGCAAAACTTGCTAGGTAACAAACCCTATCCACATTTACATAGTTCCCACTCATTCATCCCAAGGGAAGACACTCCACAATAAAACATACATAACAGCAGAGAGAAATTACAACTGAAATCTAGAATTCATTGTGTGTGTGTGTGTGTGTGTCTAAGACAGGGTCTCACTCTGTTGCCAGGCTGGAGTGCAATGGCACGATCTTGGCTCACTGCAACCTCCGCCTCCAGGGTTCAAGCGATTCTCCTGCCTCAGCCTCCCGAGTGGCTGGAACTACAGGCGCATGCCACCATGCCCAACTAATTTTTGTATTTTTAGTAGAGGTGGGGTTTCACCATGTTGGTCAGAATGGTCTCGATGTCTTGACCTCGTGATCCACCCACCTTGGGATTACAGGTGTGAGCCACTGCACCTGATTTAGAATTCATTTTTCTATATACACAGATAACCAAGGATCATCAGACATGGCATTAATCACAAGCTTGGAAAGAAAAGGCTAAGATGGAAGGAATAACTGACCACAGGGAGAATCTAGGGAATAGAGAAGCATCTAATTATTTTTTTAAAAAGTATTATCAGAGAATTTGAAAAATACTGCATCCATAAAGTAAGAACAGGAAACTATAATAAAGGAACATCAGAGAACAAGTTAGGCTCTTAGAAACTAAAAATATTACTGCAGGAAATTTTAAAAATTCAATAAAAGCTTGGGAAGTAAAAGTCCAGGTAGTCTCTCCCAGAACATAGACCAGGAAGATTAAAAGAAAATACAGGGAAGGAGAAGATAAGACATGGGGGACTAGGTCAAGATGTGACTAGTGGAAGTTCTAAAAAGAGGGGAGTCTTTGGATTGAAGGGGCTCACTAAGTGCCAGGAAAGTTGAATGGAGAAAAAATACTCAAACCCCACATGTAGCACATCATGGAAAAATTTCAGAACCCCAGAGATTTTATTTAAAAAAAAAAAAAAAAGAATTCCTGAGAAGATGAAAACAATACCTCTACAAAATAACAAAAATTCAACTGTCATTATATTTTTAGCAACAATAGATGCTAGACAATACTGGAATGAAGTCTCTAAAATTCTAGGGGAATTAATTCATTCATTTATTTGTTCAAGTATTTATTGGGTGCATATTGTGGGATAGGCACTATTTAGGCATTGTTATGTTGAATAAAACATGGGAAAAATCTTGCCTCTCATCGAACTTACATTCTAGTACAGCAAGAAAATAAATAAATAAATAAATAATGTGTGTGTGAGCAAGAGAGAGAGAGAGAGAGAGACAGAGCATGAGAAAGAGAGACCAAGCGACAGAGAGAGAAAGAGAAGATTATGACTTAAGAGCTAGGATAGAAGTAAAATGAGAGGAGATAGGAAGTGCTGGCTAAGAGTATTATTTTCAAGTTAGAGTTCTATATTCAGCTAAGCTACCGTTTTACATAAGAGCAAAATGACGAGATTCTCAGATATGCAGTGATTTTAAACAATCATATCTTGACCATCCTGAGAAAGTTATTTTAAAATGTATTTCAGCAAAACAAGGGTGGTAACTCAGATAAAGGAAGATAAGGGATTAATAGAAATTTTAGAACTGATGGTTTGTCTCTGTGTCCCCACCCAAATCTCATCTCAAATTGTAGTCCTCACATGTGAAGGGGCAGGGCCCTGGTGTGAGGTGATTATGATTAGATCATGGGGGCGGGTTCTCCCATGCTGTTCTCATGATAGTGAGGGAGTTGTCACGAGATCTGATGGTTTAAAAGTGGTAGTCTCCCCTGTGTGTGCTCTCCCTCTTTCTCCTGCTATCTTATGAAGAAGGTACCTGCCTCTCCTTTGCCTTCCACCGTGACTGTAAGTTTCCTAAGGCTTCCCCAGCCATGTGGAACTGTGAGTCAATTAAACCTCTTCTGTTTATAAGTTACCTAGTCTCAGGTAGTATCTCTATAGCAGTGTAAACACAGAAAAGAACAAACCGAGAACAGTGTAAAAGAATCCTGAGATAACAGCTGTTCATCAAGACTATTTCTTTACCCTATAAAAAAAACAACAAAACTAGCTGCTTTGTGTTCTGTAGCACCTTATTTGTCTGCTCTCTACTGGATTTTTTTGAGTTGGAAGTATTATTTTTTAAAAGAACAGTCTTTCCTAATCTTTTCCACTTGAAGTGCCTGCCTTCTTAGTTGGCCAGGTGTGGTGGTTCACGCCTGTAATCCCAGCACTTTGGGAGTCCGAGGCGGGCAGATCACGTGGTCAAGAGATCGAGACCATTCTGGCTAACACAGTGAAACCCCGACTCAAGTAAAAAACACAAAAAATTAGCTGGGTGTGGTGGCGGGCGCCTGTAGTCCCAGCTACTCAGGAGACTGAGGCAGGAGAATGGCTTGAACCTGGAAGGCGGAGCTTGCAGTGAGCCGAGATTGTGCCACTGCACTCCAGCTTGGGCGACAGAATGTGTGTCTCAAAAAAAAAAAAAAGAAGTGCCTTCTTAGTCATGAGATAATGGCTATGACCTAGATTTTTTGTTAATGTTTCCTCCTGTTTCTTATGTTTTAAAAGGGGACATTTGTTCAGATTAGTCAGACTCATCCTTTGTATGATCTAAGTCCTTCTTCTGTCTGAAGGGTTTTCGCTTTTTGCTCTTATTTTAAGTGTTACTATTTGCTAAGATTCTGTCAGTTTGTATTAAACCCCTTCTCAGATCTTTCCATCTCAGAGGGTGAAAAGTAAGATTTATGACCAATTAATTTGTTTTGCCAAAGTATTGATGTATTTACTGTAGAGAGAAGGATCTATAGCCAGAAAAAGCAGGTAACAAAATGCTTTAGCACAAAGTCAAAGGATGTTAGTTTATTGCAGCTCCAAATGAGCTGGGCCCTGTCTTTTTTCTCTACTTCTAAGACCCCGCAGTAAGAGCTGAGACGACTTTATCTGTTTGCTTGATTAGTTTTTCTTACTCAGTTTAAGCTTGGTCTGCTGCTCTCTGTGCTACCTTCAAGTATTCTTCTAAAGTAGAGTTGACATTTGCTTCCTACTTACTGCTTCATGATTCTTTCTTGCCCCCCACTCACCTTTGAGCTTGTGAATCTACTGGGGTCCAGCAGGGAACCCCTTCCACCTACTCTTCAGATAGGTTTTCTCCTTCTTATGCAGTGACTTGGTTAGCTTTTCTGTACCCATTCTCATTTTCACTATGTCTTTGAAGTTTCCAGTATGGTGATTATATCTAGATTCTAATACTGATTCAGACTTTTTTCCCCCCATTTTATATTTCTTTGGCATTTTCAAATGGTAATTGGAATGGTGAAAGAATTCTGAACTTGCTCATTTTTTTAAAAACTGATCTTGCTAGCTGTGAGTTTATTAAGTCAGCTAGCTTCGCAGGACACTCATTGTACATTGTGTTTTATTGAGCCCAGAATCAGATTACTTCCTCCTGAACAGACAGAGCTGTTCTCATAGTTAAGTCTTTGTAACATTTGAGCATGAATTAGTCAAATCATTATTAAATGTAAATGACCCCTTAGGGAGTTTTTAAAGCTTACTCTTTGTTTGGTATTTATAATGTTTAGAAGTTGTATTACAGGTGGTATGAAATGCCTTTATATGGCTCATTGCAAAGTTTAAATCATACCATTGCTTTTATAAAATCAAATAGTGTAAAACATAATCAGTGTTATGCGTCTGTGCTTAAAGCTAGGCTATAGCTAATTTTCACAAATAAGTAGAGCTATTCAATTAAGCTCTCAGAATATGTATCCTACCTGAGATCTCATTCTATCTGTCCTTTCTCATTACACAGTAGGTTCCATGAAAACAGGGATAGGGTTTTAATTTTTATCCCTGGCCTTTAACACAACTTGGCTGTAGAAGCTTTTTAAAATAATTATATGCTTATTTAATAATTTAAAGAATTGCTTTATTTTTAGAGATGGAAGAGGCTTTAGAAATTCTATACTCCACTGATTTTAAGTCTGTATTCCAAAGTCCTAGAGTACTGAGGAGGTACCTCAGGGTCTTCCACTGGAGTGAAGTGTAGGAAAAGTGAGTAATTCCACACCATTTGAACCAGAGGATTTGTGTTTTTATCTGTTACATAGTTCTGTTTTACTCCCAGGCACTGTGTGAGGATGGGAATCCAGGATATGTCCGTCTCAGACAGGCAGGCCTCTTACTTACCCTGGACAGTACTCCTGCTTCCTCTTCTTTAGTCACCATCACCATTGACTCCAGAATGACTAAACAACAGAAATGTATTCTGAAACCTGCTCTAGATCCCTAATGACTTTATTCACAGTTTATCTGAGAAGGTTTTCTGATTAAATGAAATAGACCTCAAAATATCAACTTCACATCTCTTGGGAGGCAGCACAGGGTCTGCAAAGATAAACTTTAAAGATAAATAACCCTTTCACTTACTAGCCATGTATGCTGGAAGGAAAGGTGTATCCTAACCTCTTTGCACTTCAGTTTACTCATTTATAAAATTATCACAACCTATTTTCACAGGCACTAAAATACCTGGTAAAATGCTAGTATATAGTAGGTATTCATTGTTTGTGTACTTCCAACCTGATATTAATGATATTAAAGTTTAATATCTTTGAGGTGTCTGCCTCATTTTTCTGTATTTCTTTTTAGGCAGTTTTATACAATGACAGATCTGTTCTGGAAAATCATCATGCTGCGTCAGCTTGGAATCTGTATCTTTCTCGCCCAGAATACAACTTCCTTCTTCATCTTGATCATGTGGAATTCAAGCGCTTTCGTTTTTTAGTCATCGAAGCAATCCTTGCCACAGATCTTAAAAAACATTTTGATTTTCTTGCAGAATTCAATGCCAAGGTTTGTTATGAAAATTAGTGCCTGATTTAAAAAATCTTTATTGTCAGTGTTACTGATAAAATATGATTTTTAATGTTAAGTTAGAATTATTACTGCTTAGAAAGTAACAATAAATAGTTGATATAAAATAATATATATGCCTATATTTTTAAAAATAAACATTTTTATTGTTATGGTAACATTTCCTAAAATATTATTGCTTGCTATATTTTCTTTCAACACATAAACTTATACTATTGTGACTTTATTTCACATACTTTCACCTAGAAACAAACCAGTTATTTCAAATGAGTTTAAAGAGAGATTTGACAAAGCCATGCTTAGTGTCAAGTAAGACATTATATAAAATTAATTTTATGTGTTTCCTAAGAATCCAGTTAATTCTAAGAATCCAGTTAATTATGCCTACCTCACTGCACCTGTTATACCTTCTTTATATTAGTGATTCTTTAGCTGGCTAGTGTAGGGAAAAGGAAGCACCTTCTTCTGCTTGAGAATAATCCAGTCATTCAACAAGTATTTATTGGGATTGCCCACTATGTGCAGACATTGTACTAGGCCAAAGAACTCATATTCACCAGGGGATCAAGAATCACTGACCCAGTATGACAGTGGTACTCATGGGACTATGCTTTATCCCTCAGACATTTGAGGTGAAAAAAGTTGAGGACCACCGCTTTAGATTCCCGCCCTGGCTTGCAGGAAGCTGCTATTTTCTTGATGACTTTTGTGACCTAAAAGAAGCTGTACCTGCAGGGTAGAGAAACTGGTAACAAAGGAGTACTAGATTAAATCCGCTGGAAGGAGACCCTTATATATGTTGTTGTCATGACATTAATGAAATGCTTATGAAAATCAGTGAGAAATCAGGGTACCTTTAAAATTATTTCATAGTTGTATAGTTTTATTCACTTTAATTTTTAAATAAAATTCATTTAAGTGCTTAAGTCACCTTTTACAGGTAAAAGATTATCTAACACAATACTTCGAATGTGTATTCCGTAAAGACTTCTATTTTGAAGTCTCTCAAAAAAATGCCATATGAATGGGGCTCTAGACCTCCTATTAAGTTTCAGTCAAAAGAGCTCTTCTCTCAAGTGTTTTCTATGATGGTGTTCTACATAATTTTTTTTTTTTCTGAAAGAGTTTGGTGCCAAAAAGCAACCATAACACTGAAGTTCAAAAGCTATGACATGGCTCATTCTTTTCATTTTTTACAAAATGAAATTTTAGTTCTTGAAAGGCTTTTTTTTCCAGCTAATAATGACAATTATCATTTATTTAAATAACAATATTTAACACTTACCGTGAGCAAGACATTTTTTCATTTATTAAACCTCATAGCAGCATGGCTAGATTGGTATTACTTTTCCTACTTCATAGATGAAGAAAGCTGGATTCGAATAGATTAAGCAGTTTTTTCACTGTTACACACTGAATTTTTGATTCAGAATACAGCTTGCTGATTCATGACATTCTGAGTCAGGATTTAAAACTATAGGGCCAGCTTCTCAGACTTGTGTTCAGGTCACTATATCATTGCCTTTCACAGCAAGAGCAAACTTCCCTAGCTTAAGTGTTCTTTTTTGAGGTAGAAATAAGTAGTTATAATTCTTATATGATTTTTTTGATATTGTGTATCTACTATACTTAATATATATGTGTATATATATACACACACATATAATTCATGATTCTTTGTGGTAATCACACATATTGAAACCCATGGTTATATGTTTTTCTAGAAAGCATTTTTAGAAAGGAAATTTAACCAATAGAAGTCCATATTATGGAATAAACTGATTTTAAAAAGAACTATTTGCTGAACTAACTTTCTGTCATTTAGACAGGAAACAGTTTTAAGATAATTTGGTAAAAGCAAACAAAACAACAATTTTTTAAATGCCTTCAGAACCTAAAATGAGTTTGTTTTTCCAAAATAGGCAAATGATGTAAATAGTAATGGCATAGAATGGAGTAATGAAAATGATCGCCTCTTGGTATGCCAGGTGTGCATCAAACTGGCAGATATAAATGGCCCAGCAAAAGTTCGAGACTTGCATTTGAAATGGACAGAAGGCATTGTCAATGAATTTTATGAGCAGGTAAGTTGAAACATGAGCTTGGTGGGATTTTTAAGAGCTGTCATAAGAAGACACTCCTCTTTGGGTTTTTGGATAGCTTTATTAAGTGTTTGAATTCTGAGTTGCTTTGACTGGGAAGGGTTAAAAATTGTTGCATTTGCTTTGGTTCTTAGTATTTTCTATGTTCTGTTTGCCATTGCTGTTAAAATTTTAAAAAATAACCTATTCCCTATCTTGAGTGAGCTGAATATACTCGTGAGTCTATAGGTAGGGCTGTTAGCAGCGGCAAATCGGTACGAGTCTACAGCAACCTCAATTCTTGCCCCCTCAGAAGAAAGAATTCAACTGAGGGGCATAAGGCAGAGGGAGCGATTGAGGCAAGTTTTAGAGCAGAAGGGAAAGTTTATTTAAAAGCTTTAGAGCAAGAATGAAAGGAAGTAAAGTACACTTGGAAGAAGACCAGGAGGGCAACCTGAGAGATCAAGTGCATGGTTTGATCTTTGACTTGGAGTCTTATGCACTGGCATGCTTCCAGGGTTGTGTTACTTCTCCCAATTCATCCCTTGAGGTGGCTGTCGGATGTGCAGTGGCCTGCCAGCACTTGGGAGGGGCCACATACACAGTGTGTTTACTGAAGTTGTATTCATGCTCACTTGAGGCATTTTTCCCTTACCTGTCCAGAGTTCATGGAGGAAGGCTATATACCAATTAAACTTCACCATTTTGCCTCTTAGTGTACATGCTTGAGCCCACTCACCCAGCTCCTGAGATCTTATCAGGATGCTGCTGATGACCAGCATCTATTGGGTGACTGCCTTACCTTGGTGCCAGCTGTGACCAATTATTATTTTAGAGAGACAGCTTAACCTATCACCTGATGGTCACCTGACATTTCTGATTGGGTTGGGGGCAGGCCCTCTCCTGCTCTGCCCATGTCTTTCTGACTACTTTCTATAACAAGGCTAGATGACATTATGATTCCAAGGTCTCTTTCAGCCCTGAGATTCTGTAACCTAGAATAATTTATTTCCAGATGAAGTGGTTTTTAAATTATTCAGGGTATGCTCAGAATATAAAGAATATCAATCCATTTTCAACTCTGCTATAAAAAGACTAACTCCCTGCCATAGGAACATCAACTGGGAAGAAATCTGGACAGAGGGCTACAAATGGAGAGAATAGACACTTAGTGGTTTTCAAGGATTCAAAGATATAAGCATGCTCTTTTGTTCTTAAATCTTTTTTTTGAGACAGAGGCTTGCTCTGTTGCCCAGGCTGTAGTGCAGTGGCACAATCTCAGCTCACTGCAACCTCTGCCTCCTGGGTTCAAGCGATTCTCCTGCCTCAGCCTCCTGAGTAGCTGGGATTACAGGCACACGCCACCATGCCTGGCTAATTTTTGTATTTTTAGTAGAGATGGGGTTTCACCATGTTGGTCAGGCTGGTTTCAAATTCCTGACCTCGTGATCCACCCACCTCAGCCTCCCAAAGTGTTGGGATTACAGACGTGAGCCACCATGCCCAGCTGTTCTTAAATCTTTAAATTTTTTTTTTCATTATTATTCTTTAAGTTCTGGGGTACATGTGCAGAACATGCAGTTTTGTTACATAGGTATACACGAGCCATGGTGGTTTGCTGCACTCATCAACCCGTCATCTACATTAGTTATTTCTCCTAATGCTATCCCTCCCCTACCGCCCCACCCCGTGACAGGCCCCCATGTGTCATGTTCCCCTCCTTGTGTCCATGTGTTCTCATTGTTCAACTCCCACTTATGAGTGAGAACACACAGTGTTTGGTTTTCTGTTTCTGTGTTTGCTGAGAATGATGGTTTCCAGCTACATCTATGTCCCTGCAAAGGACATGAACTCATCCTTTTTTTATAATTGCATAGTATTCCGTGGTATATATGTGCCACATTTTCTTTATCCAGTCTATCATTGATGGGCATTTGGGTTAGTTCTAAGTCTTTGAAAAGCGTTCCTATTTCTCCACATCCTTTCCAGTATCTGTTGTTTCCTGACTTTAATGATCGCCATTCCAACTGGCATAAGAGGTTATCTCATTGTGGTTTTTATTTGCATTTTTCTAATGACTAGTGATGATGAGCTTTTTTCATATGTTTGTTGGCCACATAAATATCCCAAGACGCATAATCGTCTGATTCGCCAAGGTTGAATGAAGGAAAAAATGTTAAGGGCAGTCAGAGAGAAAGGCTGGGTTACTCTCAAAGGGAAGCCCATCAGACTACCAGTGGATCTCTCTGCAGAGACCATACAATCCAGAAGAGAGTGGGGCCAATATTCAACATTCTTAAAGAAAAGAATTTTCTTTCTTTTTTTTTTTTTTTTTTTAAGAAAAGAATTTTCAACCCAGAATTTCATATCCAGCCAAACTAAGCTGCTTAAGTGATGGAGAAATAAAATCCTTTACACACAAGCAAATGCTGAGAGATTTTGTCACCTCCAGACCTGCCTTACAAGAACTCCTGAAGGAAGCACTAAATATGGAAAGGAAAAACTGATACCAGCTACTGCAAAAACATGCCAAATTGTAAAGACCATCGACACTATGAAGAAACCGCATCAACTAATGGGCAAAATTAACTTGCTAGTATCATAATGACAGGATCAAATTCACACATAACAGTATTAGCCTTAAATATAAATGGGCTAAATGCCCCAATTAAAAGGCACAGACTGGCAAATTGGATAAAGAGTCAAGACCCATCAGTGTGCTGTATTCAGGAGACCCATCTCACATGCAAAGACACACATAGGCTCAAAATAAAGGGATGGAGAAAGATATACCAAGCAAATGGAAAGCAGAAAAAAAGCAGGGTTTGCAATCCTAGTCTCTGATGAAACAGACTTTAAACCAACAAAGGGATCAATTAATCAAGAACAGCTAACTATCCTAAATATGTATGCACCCAATACAGGAGCACCCAGATTCATAAAGCAAGTCCTTAGAGACTTACAAAGAGACTTAGACTCCCATACAACAATAATGGGAGATTTTAACACCCCACTGTTAACATTAGACAGATCAACGAGACAGAAAATTAACAAGGATATTCAGGACTTGAACTCAGCTCTGGACCAAGTGGACCTAATAGACATCTACAGAACTCTCCACCCCAAATCAACAGAATATACATTCTTCTCAGCACCACATCGCACTTGTTCTACAATTGACCACATAGTTGGAAATAAAACACTCCTCAGCAAATGGAAAAGAACAGAAATCATAACAAACAGTCTCTCAGACCACCGTGCAATCAAATTAGAAATCAGGATTAAGAAACTCACTCAAAACCGCACAACTACATGGAAACTGAACAACCTGCTCCTGAATGACTACTGGGTACATAACAAAATTAAGGCAGAAATAAATAGACACAATGTACCAGAATCTCTGGGACATAGCTAAAGTGGTGTTTAGAGGGAAATTTATAGCACTAAATGCCCACAGGAGAAAGCGGGAAAGATCTAAAATCGACACCCTAACATCACAATTAAAAGAACTAGAGAAGCAAGAACAAACAAATTCAAAAGCTAGCAGAAGACAAGAAATAACTAAGATCAGAGCAGAACTGAAGGAAATAGAGACACAGAAAACCCTTCAAAAAAATCAATGAATCCAGGAGGTGATTTTTTGAAAAGATTAACAAAATAGACCACTAGCTAGATTAATAAAGAAGAAAAGAGAGAAGAATCAAATAGATGCAATAAAAAATGATAAAGGTGATACCACCACTGACCCCACAGAAATACAAACTATCAGAGAATACTATAAAATTTTTGGCATTAAAATAATCTTTCCACTTTGCTGAATCTGCCATTTTTGGGGTCCACTTTTGAGGCTTCCTACAGTGTAGGAGTGCATGATTTCCTGACATACCTAACATTTTGTTATCTCCAAAATAGCAAATACACCTTTTTGACTTTGGAATTATATTCCTTAGGAATCCTTGTTGGCCCTAATTATCAGGAAAGGTCAAGATATCTACCAGGTGAGGGCTTTCTTAACATGAGTGGAAAGTGGGAGTAATTGAGCCTATGTAACCATGCACCTGGTATATTTTGTTACTTCCAGATTATATTGAAAATGTGCAGTGTTTTACACCCACCAGCTAAACATCCCAACACAATAGTGTATACTCTGCTGTTTATAAGTTACAAAATGCCATATTTTATAATCATGGAAAGATTATTAGTATTTTACTATTCTCTGATATGTTTAAATTATATTTAATTTGGGGTAGTAAATGGCTGTATTTACCTAATTTGTAAGATTATAATATGCAGTTTGCATATTCTCATCTTCATTCTCAGTGATAATTGAAACTTGCTTTATTTAGAGCTCGCCCATGGATCTCATGTTTACAAATGAGGAATTTTATCCTAAGGAAAATGTTATCTTTATATTATATGTACAAATAGGTAATAAAAAATAATGGTGTATGTCAGTTTTAGAAAATTCACTAGTTCAGTGAGATAACATTAGAAATATTCATTTAGACCCTGCATATTATTTTAAAAGCATATAGAATTTTACTTATTAAGCAAACCTGGAAGCCCTGCCTGAGGCTGAATCCTGGCTTCTCTTCCTTATCTGCAATATGACCTTGGTTGGGTAAGTTACTTAACCTCTCTGTGCCAGTTTCCTCACTGATAAAATAGGAATAATGATGGTACCTACGTCATAAGGTTTCTGTGAGGATTAAATGAACTAATATATGTAGACTTCTTAGAATAGTTTCTTACACATAAGTTCTCAATAAATGTTAACTATTATAATTTCACATATATCACTAAAAATATATTATCTCAGAGAGTTTCACTTAATCTAAGTGTCATTCAATATCAAAGGAGGAAAATGTCATCTGATATCCTACCACTTATGAAAGTTTTGATCATCCCTCATCAGAACTAAACTTCTTTCTCATTCTGGTTATGCTATTAAACTTTCTTCAGATATTGATGTAAAATTCTAACCACGCCCAACTTTTTTCCTGTTATCCTAATTATACTGTCTTTATATGCCTACAGCCATTTAACTGCCATGGGCTTAGGAAAGCCAAACTCCTGGGTTATATCTATGAAATTACAGAGTCCTATAGATAAACCCAACTGTTTTTGGAAAAACATCAATTGTTTTCTTCCTCATAGAAGATAATCTCGTAAAAGATTTCTAATCATGGGACAGTTAATCACGGGGACAGTTTCTGTTGTTTCCTCAGCGTTATGTTGGCTCATTACAGAACAGACACTGCTTACCTGCAGAATTTGTACACTGTGGGGAGAAATTTATCCCAAACCAGTTCAGACACTAGGACTAAAATGTTAATAGTGCCATTCGGAGAATGCTCAGTACTGTGCTAAACACCTTATATAATACTGCCTTTTAACCTCATCATGGCATCCCTATAAGGTAGATTATTATTCAGATTTTACACACAGTGCATTTGTACATAGAGCTTGCTCAACACCACACAGATAGTAGTTTGATCTCAAATTAAGCCCTAGAAGCCACAGTGGTAGGGTAACAGAAGGCAGGCCATTGGGGATCTAGCCCCAGGAGCCTCACCTCCATTATGGTAGCTCTACTTTATTTGTTTTTCATATTAGGTTTTCTCATTTTGAATCATTAGAGAGTTCTGCTGTTAAAAAAAGGGGGGTGGAGGTAGTGTTATTGAAAAGCACTTGCAAAATTCAGCTCTGTACATTTGAGATATAACTACAACAAAAATGTTTCTATTATGCTTTTGCCCCTAGATAAAGAGAATCCATAATTGACACTATGGAATTTTGCAGGTTGTTAGTAAAATATCTGATACTTATTTTTAAAGATCTGTATGTTTCTTATTAACTGAGTATCAGCCATACTGGTTGATGTGGACAGAATGTGAGAATAAAGTTTTGTTTAGGATTTCTCAATATTAAATTCTTACAGTTGAAATGATAGAATAGATTCATTGATGCTTATTTATAAAAAATAGTTTTATATAAATTGTTTATTTTAAAAAAACTCAAGATAATTTTAACAGCAAAGCTCAGTAGTGGTTCTTTCACCAGTTAAAAATGTACTTTTCTTTTTAAAATATGCAGGGAGATGAAGAAGCAAATCTTGGTCTGCCCATCAGTCCATTCATGGATCGTTCTTCTCCTCAACTAGCAAAACTCCAAGAATCTTTTATCACCCACATAGTGGGTCCCCTGTGTAACTCCTATGATGCTGCTGGTTTGCTACCAGGTCAGTGGATAGAAGCAGAAGAGGATAATGATACTGAAAGTGGTGATGATGAAGATGGTGAAGAATTAGATACAGATGATGAAGAAATGGAAAACAATCTAAATCCAAGTAAGAATATAGGGACATTATAATTTATGTAATGTTATAGGTTGAGTATTCAAAGTCTGAAAATCTGAAATATGAAATGCTCCAAAATCCAAAACTTTTTGAGTGCCAGCATGGTGCTCAAAGGAGATATTCATTGGGACACCTGGATTTCAGATTTTTCAATTAGGGATGCTAAATATAATGCAAATATTCCCAAATCAGAAACAGTTCTGGTCCCAAGCATTTTGAATAGGGATACTCAACCTTTAATAACTGCATATATCCATTTAACTTAGATTTGGAACTTTGTTTCTCAGATACAGATTCAGCAGTCATTATATTGAGTAACCACTATCTAAATGTTCAGATTCAGTAGTCATGTTTTGAGTAACTGCTGTAAGCTGGGTACTGGGTGAACACTGTAATACAACAAGCATTCTTATTCTTATTTAATTAAAGTAACATCTCTTGAAGTGTTGTCCTCTAACCAGTACTCTTCATTCAGCAGGCTCCACCTGTGCATGCACGATAGGGCCATCACCACATCTGAACATAGGTGGATCCTCATGGCGAGTCCTCCTTCATGTCACTCCTTTTCACACATCTCACCCCCAATCCCACTGGAAAGCTGAGGAGCACAACTTCCATAGCAGCATACTAATCTGCCGTTCACATAGACTTGAGAAATAGATCAAAACAGTGGGGGGTGGGGGGAGGGGGAAGGAAAACATACATTCCCTGGTTGTAAAGGGAGAGCCAAGTTTTGTGGCATTATGAATTTGAGTTACCAAACTGTAATGACATGCTTTTCTATATAAGACAATTAGTATGAATGGAAAATGAAATGAAAATTGTCACTTTGTAATTGTGAATGAAATCAGTTATTTGCTCATTTTAAAGTAGAATTTAAATTATAACTACATAAGTATTGTTTTGATTTTCAAGCATGCAATAAATCAGACCAGATAGGAAAACTACAAAGCACCTCCCACTGCAACACACACATGCCTTGTATTTAGGATTAGCATGGCAAATCCTATTAAAATGTATTTAAAATTCTTTTTTTTTAAATGGCATTAGCATCTGAAGGTTGACTGACTTCTAAAAATTATACTCCCCCATCTCTACTAAAAATACAAAATATTAGCTGGGCATAGTGGCGGGCGCCTGTAGTCCCAGCTACTTGGGAGGCTGAGGCAGGAGAATAGCATGAACCTGGGAGGCAGAGGTTGCAGTGAGCTGAGATCGCACCACTGCACTCCAGCCTGGGTGACAGAGCAAGACTCCGTCGCAAAAAAAAAAAAAAAAAAAAAAGAAAATTATACTTATCAAAATGTTGGTAATTGTGTTTAATTCAATACATAAGATGCCCTTAAAGGTTGTTTTTTAACTTTGGGTTATTTTCATTTGAAATTTCAGCATAATTCTTCCCTCTCCACCATACCCAGCCAGTTTTCCCTAAACCTCTTCTCTATTTTGTTTTTATCCATAACAATACCATCTAACGTATTCCTGTTTTGCTTCTTTCTGTTTTCCTAGCTCTTTCCACTAGAATCTGAACACCATAATGCAGGGATTATTTTTATAGTACTACTTCATTATACTATTTTTATTATACTATTATTTTATAGTACTGTTTACTTTTGTAACCCCAGTGCTTAGATACCTAGAATATAATAGGCACTTAATATTTGTTGAATGATTAAATCATATTGCTGTGATTAGAATATATTTCTTTTAAATTTCACAGAACCACCAAGAAGGAAAAGCAGACGGCAAATATTTTGTCAGCTAATGCACCACCTCACCGAAAACCACAAGATATGGAAGGAAATCATAGAGGAAGAAGAAAAATGTAAAGCTGATGGGAATAAACTGCAGGTGGAGAACTCCTCCTTACCTCAAGCAGATGAGATTCAGGTCATTGAAGAAGCAGATGAAGAGGAAGAGCGACAGTTTGAGTAAAAGAAAAGTCATATTGAAGAAGCCCAGAGGGCTGTGCCCAGGGGCAGAAATCATTGCCTAGTGTCCACCGGCTGACTCTCAACTGACCATTCCCACATGGACAAGCCTTAATACTGTGAGAGGATCCTTGCTCTGCTGGCAGTTTCCCACTCCTATGCACTTTCACAGGAACTAGAAAACTATTCTTAAACCAAGAATACCATCCATGTTGACCCATATTGCAGAGCCCTTACTTAAATCCTTCACTATTGTATGAATACTTTGTCATAATGCTGCTTTGCTGGGTAGTGAGCTCTTATTTTTCATTGGGGGTCAGCTATAACTAAAAACTCAAGTGACTTATTTCAGTTACCAAAGTGGCCAGAACTTTCGCTTTTATGAAAATAGATTCATATTGTATTTCCCAATGTGTCTTTTATGTCTTTGAATGTTTTGGAAAAAAGTCTATGCCTGTCTAAAAATGAATCCAGTGTTGCCTTTCTGAGGGATTTCTTCTCAATGCAATACACTGTTAAGTTCTATTCTCCCAGCTAGGTTTATCCATGAAGGACTGAGTGACCTTTGTTATATTTAACAAAATCCAGGTGCATCAATTTCTGATGCTTTTTACTATTGTGTATTATCTACTATGTGTGTTTTATTTCTGCTGAGAGTATTCAGGTTTGCCATGGACATCAGAAGTTTGAATTCCAGTCTTACCTTCTTTATGTTCCATGGCTGAATTTTAAAGCTGTTTAGGCTTAACAATGAAGGGATTTATTCTTTAGTCAAAATTGTTATTTTTACTCTAGCTCAGGATTTGTATTTTTAAAGATTTAGTTAATATAAACACAGCACAGATTTGTCAGAAGAAAAAAAATTTGCCGTAATACCAAGGTTCACCTTTTATGAAATGAGCAACATTTTCTGTTCTTAGATGAATTTGAAACTAATTAAAACCAAAGAAAAGGAGATGTCTGTCTTTTGCCTTAATGCAAAATCAAATGAAACTAATCTCATTAAAGATAAAGAAAAAAGGAATATAGTGAGCCCTAAAGGACACGTACATTGAATAAATAATTGGAATATGTGGTTATCTTTAGATCCATATCTTAGTTGTCATTTGTTTACTCTCAAACTGATGTTCATCTTTCTGTTAATTTCCCTCTGCCTCAAGACTACATGACAGAAATGACCTATCACTACTTATTATTTCTGAAGCCCAACTGCAAGACTGATTTCTGAGATCAAGTAAAGAATTGGAATACTTATTTTTCATATAAAAAATCTAAATATGTTAATAAATCATTTCATACAAAAGTACATTATTAAATAACCATATTATCAAAATAATCACAAGAAAATGGACCATATTTACAATGTTTTGTAAACTTGCCAGTGTGTGGATATGTACCCTACTTGTGAAATACATTTGAAGATATAAAGATCAGCCAAAATGATGGCAAAATGGTAGGCTAATATCTTCTATTATTATTGGAGACCATATCATATTTTGGATTCATGCAATTTTGCACACAGTGAAACCATTAATTTTCCAAGGTAATTTCTTTAGAATATGGTATTGGCATGCAGTTTCTTACTTATCTAGAATATTTGGCTTATCTGAAAGATACCAATTTAAGATCTCTGGAAGTGTTAGAATTTTTGATCCTTCACAGTATCAATATTTAATCACTAAGCTTTATTTATTAGACATGTTGAGTGAGTGCTGAGTTCCTTGCTGCCACTTTTGTTACCATTGCCACACACTATTTGTAAACCAGTCCCACCACTTATTACTGATTAATAAAATTTTAACTGATAATTATTTGCACTTAAAATGTATATATCCTGTCCTTATATTTCTCTAGAGTACATTTTCCATCATGTTTACGTGTATTTCTGTTATTACTTCCTCTCCTGCAGAATACATACAAGTGTATGTGTATAAATTCATACATGTGCAAGCATGCATATTGAGATTCAATCACATTTCCATACTGTCTTTTATTGGGTTTTATATATATATATTTTTTTTAGTTTATGTTATTTTCTCAAAAGCAGCATTTTTAATTACAAATACTGGATTTACTGGATTTAATTATAAATCCAATTACTATTGGGAACTCATTTTTACATAATATAGTCCTTAAATTATTTAACCCTTGCTAAGTAATTGACATATGTCAAAATAACTAGCCTAAAGAAACCCAAAAAAGTATCTCTCCCGAGCTGAAACTTAAAAATTCATAAGTGTAAGAAAGAATGTGAGAGTATATTAAATGCACACCGTACTATTAGATGAAATCTTACTTGAGAAATTGCCATAAGCCATATTGCAGATCCTATTTTGACTGCTACTGAATCAGATTAATTTCTTGTTAAAATAATTTTCATCATAAATCTCCTATTTTTAAAGCCACTGGTATTAGAAATATTCTTTTAGTGCTGTATATATGTATCTACTGACACATTTTTCTCCATAAAAGTACTTTTAGAAATTATTTCATGATTTGAAAGCTGTTTCCTGCTGTTATTTCATTACTTACTTTGTTGGTGCTATTGGCTTTTTCTACTTATTTTACAAGAAACCTGGAGTTTCTGGCTTACTTAAGTCATCAGAAATTCCCTGTATCTAGATTGCATCATCTCATAGAAACAAACTTCACAAAAGAGATGAATAGATACAACTCTGGTTCCTTCATTATAATTGCCAGATTAATATAAGCTCTTCTAGTGTGTAGGGGATAGGAGTGGCAGGTGGAGCAGAGATGCATCACTTCTCAAAGGAATGTGACTTTTAAGCTCAGAACTGAAGAATTAAGAGTTAGCTCAGAAATGACTGCTTGTAGAGAGAGAATAACAGTGTGTACAGAGGCCAGAAGACAAAGCATCCCTACACTGGATGAGCCAAAGAGATTTAGGGTGGCTGGAAGATAGAGCACAAGAAGAGGGAGTGGTAGAGAGATGGTGGTTAATGAAGGGCCTTGTAAAACATGACGTGCCACTTTAAACTTTATTCCTAAAGGAAATGGGAAACAATGAAAAAGTTTCAATCGGAAGAATAACATGATTAGATTTACATTTTACGAGGATCAAATAGCATACTTCAGTTGTCCTTTGTTATATGTGGGGGATTGGTTCTAGGACCTCCTCAGCTATAAAAATTGTCACATATTCAAGTCTCACAGTCAACCCTGTGGAACCCGCAGATACAAAAAGTTGGCCCTTTCTATACGAGGGTTACACATCCCACTAATACTATATTTTCATCTGCATTTAGTTGCGGATGCAGAACCTGCCAATACAGGGCCAACTATATTTACTGAAAAACTCCACATATAAGTGGACCCATGGAGTTCGAACCCATGTTGTTCAAGGGTCAACTGTATTTTGAATGGTTTAAAACTATTGTTTTGGACTGAGTTCCTGCACCTAGGCCCCAATAGACCAGACCAAAGCAAAATGGAGTCATTCATACTAAATGCCACACAATCAAACTGAAACTTTAAGGAAATACATTGATCCCCAGACTAGTTTTTTCTCAAAACAGGAGATTCCAGTCTATCTGAGCATAATGAAGGAAGTCCCCGCTGCTTTAACCTGTACAAAGAAGACGTAATCTGAAGTAACCTAGTGATAACTGATCAGTTTTTATTTTTCTATTATTCTGTTTCCTTGTTCCCATCCTTACAAAACCCACTGTTCTGCCATTACCCAGTGGGAATTTCATTCTATTTTGTAGAATGCAAGTTACCTGATACATGAATCTAGAATAAAAGCCAATTATATCTGTAACAATTTGTTGTTAATTTTGTCTTTTGACAGAATGGCAGAGCAAGATTTAGACAAAGGGAGTGCTTGGCGATATTGACTGGAATAGATTGTGGACCACAGCGACGTGAACAGAGTTATGATTTAATATGGAGTTGGTATGGGGGTAAGAAAGATTAGGGGTGGCTCCCAGATTTCAGATTTAGACAGCTGTCAATATCATTCACTGAGTTAGGGTATATGAGAGGAATTGATTTTGGATGTGTTAGAGAGTGAAGAGACAAATTCAGATTAGAGCAAAGTGAGATTAAAAGGCTTGAGACAACCAAGTGTATTTCAGTGTAGGTATGGAATTCAGAAAAGTAATATGGGCTACAAGTATGGATCTGGGAGTCAACAGCAAATAGTTGGAAGTCTACTTTGAGTATCAAGCTTTTCTCAAAAACTGTGTCATAGTATTGGCTTTTGGTACATTGGACAATGAGCCCTTTTTGCTTGCTAACACTGCTGCATTCTGTATCTTTGTTTCATTATCCTGGACATCTCACCATATCACTACACAGAAAAATTCCTTATTCTTGGCTGGGTGTGGTGGCTCACACTGTAATCCCAGCACTTTGGGAGGCCGAGGTGGGTGGATCTCTTAAGCTCAAGAGTTCGAGACCAACCTGGGTAACATGGCTCTCAGTATTAAGGTACTTCTACCTATTTGTTTTTGCATGTCTTATAATTTCTGCCTTATGAAAGTTGTTATTTGGTGTGGTATTATAACTGTTATAAAGTCCTTATGAATTATAGTACTTAGAATTACAAAGTGCACTTTTTTGTCTTATGTTTTCTGACTTGAATTCTGCCTTGTTTTATTAAGATCATGACTCCTGCTTTCTTTTTATTTGTATTTCCTGGCATGTCTTTAACCATCCTTTTATTTTTAACCTTTAACCTATGTTTAAAGTATCTCTTCTATACAACAATAATATAGCATTGGATTTGGTCTAAAATCAAATTCAATGCTATATTATATGAACACCTTTTTGATAGGTGAGATAAGCCCATTTATATTTATTCATGTGACTGTAAGGACTTAATTCTTCATATTATTTGCTCTTTTCTTAAAAACTCATTTTAATTATGACGTTTAAGAAAGTGTGTATCTTTGATTCAGTGGCAATAGTTATACTATCTTTGGACCCCATTTCTTTATAGTATCTGCTTCTCATCTATAAATTAAAAAATTAGCTTGTACATATTCTTCTCTATCTCCCACTACCCAATTTAAGGCAATATTATCCTTTACTCTTGTACTGTTAAATATTATTAAACGTCTACTACTTGTCACTTTTAAACTATATCTTTTGAATTCTAACTATATGAAGCAAAGAACTTATTCTGTGTTCTACCATTTCTCCTCTTCTCATTTTTTGTTAGATGCATTATTTTTATGAGTATAAAACAGATAGTATTGTCACATTTATGCCACCATTGTCTTAGTTCTATACTTAAATTTATTCAATGCTCAAGGCTAGTCCTTTTGCTGATGTTTCCCCAGTCATCACTTGGTTCACTGAAACTTGTCCTCACACCCGATTAACAGTTTAGGCGCTAGAGAACTTGCCGTTTAAAGCAGACAAAATTAGGGAGCCCTCAATGTAGGGCACCAATTCCAGGTAGGAGCACCACCATCTCCTTGGCATAGGAACCCGAACTTATTTATACTTATTTCAGCACTTGGAGGCAAATTCTACAACTGCACAAACAGGAGGAGAAAATGAGACGGGGCAAATTGTTCAGCTGTTTATTCCAGTAAATCTGCTTGATTTCTTTCCACTTTTAGAAAAAGTTATCCTTACCTACTTCTCTCCTTATGTACTGATTTTCTCCATAGCTATCCCATGAAGAATGGGCTCCCATCTCCACCTCTGGCTTCGTCTATGCATGGTTTTGTTTGTGGTTTTCTATATTTTTCCATTCACCTTCCATCTCCTAAAATTTCAAAGTATCTGATCCACTAACATTGCCCTCCACCCGTATTCTCAATGCCTTTATTCCATTTTCTATCCTTAATGGTTATTTCAGTGATAGGTGAGAAAAAACAAGCGTGCTCACTTGTTGAATCAGAAATTAGATCTCTAACATTTTAATCAGTAGCTTAGCACTAACTGATAAGAGAGAAGGCATCTTTATTGCACAGATCCAACGTATCTGTTACAATGTAATTTCAAAAAACAGATTTTTCCAGTATGGATTACTTACTAATTCATGTTAATTTATATTTTTCCAAAAGTGTAGCATTTTATTTTTACCACAGCTAACTGGTTCCAAATAATCGAGTTGAAAGTATAATGAAAAACAGCCTTATAAATTGTAAAGTGTAAGATAAATTATTGGGTGTGAATAAAAGGAATATGGAATGAAATAAGGCATGCCTCTGCCGTGATCTAGAGAATTCACTTCCCCTGTGTAAACCTCTATTTCCTTGGCTATAAAATGAGCACATTAAGTGAAGTTAAGGTTCTTCTACCTTTAAAAGTTGATGAAGCTACATCTTTTATAATTTGTCTGGCTTGACAATTAACCTGTGAAAATAGCATGATCTTCATTCTGCATAGATTTATGGAGTTCCTAAATTGTACTAGCAGCAGTAGTGGTAGTACTCAAAAGCAAAAGAAAGCCTCCTCAACTTTTATTATAATCTACTTCAGTTCACTAAGTTGTTTTACCCAGTAAAACTACCGTAAAGTTCAACTTAGGCTCTTATAGCAGATATGACAGTAAGTAGGAGACCCTGGGATGACAGATTTGCTATGTCAAAGAAAGAGCAAAGATTAAGGAGCAACCTGAATATGTTTGTCAAGATTCAGGAAGGTTGGGGCTGGGTGTGGTGGCTCATGCCTGTAATCCCAGCACTTTGGGAAGCCGAGCTTAGAGGACTGCTTGAGCCCAAGAGTTCAAGACCAGCCTGGACAACTATCTCTGAAAAACTAAAATAAAATAATTACAGAAAGATTCAGGAAGGTAGGTTGGAAAGTTGCTTGGCTTAGCAAGTGAGGCAGACACTATAGTTGGTCTTCTGACTTATAGTTCCTCTTCTCTTCATAATTAGCCCTAGTTTTGTTTAGATAACTACATCACCCATATGTAGCACATGTATTTTGGAAGAAGCCAACTCCATGACTACTTCTAGTAGTCAGGCATATGTTCAGGCTAAGTGAACCATAATTACACTCACAAACCATAGTTTTAAATTAATGGATGGGCACATAACTCAGAACCTATAGGACACAAAAAACAGTTTTCTGGGGGCATTTAAAAAATTCCCTTGCTCTCCCAGAAATGATCTAAGCTTGCTTTCTCTGTATGGAGGTGGGCAAAGCACATGTACTCCATGAGCTAGCCTTAAGATAAAGCTGGTATCATCTGGAAGGCAAAATTGAGAAGTGGGAAGAAGCAGAATCTTTGATTACACCATGTAACATCTAAGCCATATGGACCCTAAAACTTCCACCCTTCCTCCAAATTTCCCTTTTATTATTTAAGTGAACTTGCAAGGATTTTCTTCCCCTTGCAACTGGAAACATCTGAATATATCCAAGATGCAGACTCCTGATGTATAACACACAAACTTGAAACTGTTCAACAGGTAAGTCCAAACTAAGGTTAAATCCATATTCTTAATAGAAGTCATTGTTGTGTGCGCTGACTCTGAGGCTGCAACTATTCATGAGCCATGTTACAAGAGCATGTACCCATAATTTCACAACTTTATAAGAAATGATGATGTAAAAATAGCTATAAATGGGTCAATATACATTCCAGTTTGTTTAGGGCAGTCACAATTTACTCTTGTTGTCCTGATATAACTATGAATAGGAAGACCCATTCACTCTCAAGTGTCCCAGTTTACACAGTTACCCTATCTCTAGAGCATGTTTTTGGATTTGAATATAATTATCTTTAGAAAAATAACACTAACCCATGGAAATGCCTAGAGACCTCTAAAAGATATAAGTGAATTCAATCTTTAATCCTTGTGATTAGTTTTAGAAAGAAGTGGTGCCAGGGAAAATGTGCCAACAAAGATTCAACAACCATGTATCATTTAAAATTTTAAATATATTATTGTAATGTCCTATCTACTTAACTGCTGCTATGAAGGTGGACACTCAGGGTCACACAGACCCTCATTTATAAGAAGAATGACACAGTTCTTATGAAGACAGAGCAGGGAGTAAGATACGAAAGCACTGGCAGGCTCTACATTAAATACATATTTCTTCTACAATCTCCCACCATATCTAAAATACCTCTAAAGTCCAAACTCATTTATTTGGGTTTTAATTTATTCTGTAGTCCTCTATTAAACTGGACTGGTACCACACAGTTTATTAATGACAATACCTGATCAGAAGGGAGCTGGTTTCTGGAACCAAGGCCCCAACAGGACAGAAGCCAGATGAAGTCAGGAAGGGATAAAAGTACCTGCTACTAAACAAGATGCTCTGCTTAGGGCATCCATGACTCTTCTTAGCATTTTAAGCAACACCCATCATTTGCACCTTTGTGTCTCTCAACAGAGAATTTTACCCCAGAAGTCATAAAATCTTGAAAAGCAATCATGACTAGTGCTTGTTTCTGCTCCAGTACTATTTTAAGACACATCTGTGTTCATTTGGCTTTATGATGCTGTGACTTTTATTCTAATACACATATTGATTTGATTAAACCAAGTTCAGGGATAAGGCAAATATACATCTTTGCTCCCGAAAACATCCAGGCACTTTCAGCGTCTTTCAGCACAGATGAGGTAGGGTTGGGGCTGCAATGTCATGCCTAACCTGGGCTTCAGATCTGGAACTAGTTCATGTGGAAAATGCAAATGAAACCTCTGAAGCAATGCTGTGAAAAACAAGAACATTTCCATCCGAGCCAACTGTTCTCCAAGACAATGTCTTCTCCCTAAACAGAAAAAGCAGATATAATAATTTTTTAAACTCACAATCTTTACCAAAATTAATGTCTAATAT